TGTAAGCGAACAGAGACTGTACTGCAGCCAGGGAAGGTTTACTAAACGGCGGTTTGGCTTAAGGACACGGGAGGTGTCTTAACAAGACCTTTCTGCATAGGAAAATAAAGTATTTAAATGCCGGTCCATAGTCAAAAGGCAGCAGGCAGGCAACCAGGCTCCTCCAATGCACAGTGGCGAGATTGGTCTCGTCACATTACTGAGGTAAGTGCTTTTGTAAGTGCTGGATGGGATACAGGGAGATGCACTTTGAGTTATTCATTATGGGACTCAAACACATGAGAAGGCTGGGTTCAGGTAGATGCAAGTTGAGACTTTTTATGCTAGGGTGTATGAAAAGACTAAGGCTTAGTCATCCATTCGATTCCACAATATCTCACGGAGCTCATAGATACATATCATAACTTCAATATGTACGTGGCATAGCATGGAGTATGTATGCTAAGTTGGTTAAATGTTCAAATTGAACTAATACCTGCCCAGTTTGTTCCTCTTGAAAACAAAACCATTCACCTGTTCTACATATCACCCACTGTAGAACCTTGCTCCATATTTTGAGAAGGTCCATTAATGAACAAATCTGTTTTGTTTGTATTTAGGGTCAAGGGGTGAAGCAGGATATTCCCAAAGCCGTTGAGTTTCTAAAGAAGGCAGCAGACTTGGTAAGTTAAGTGCCCATGGAAAATCGTGTAGATAGATTTACAAATTCATTGCTGATTGATCTTACAAGACTAGCAGTTACATGGAAAAGTTATCTGCAGAAAGTGACTGTGGAGGTCATGGAGATGTATGAGAACCTTAATTGGAGACGACTCTGACAGAAAGATAATTGAGGCATAGTTGCCAATATTTGAAAAACATTTCCATGGACACTTTGCAGCACAGCTATCAGTTAATTACTTGAAAATGTACTACACCCACTGCCGAAAACCCCTGTCCACTATGTCCAACCCACATAATTAATCTCCACCTACTTATCACAGTGTAGATTACAGTCTACTCAATAAAGAGAGAATTACAGGGAACTGAGATGGGAATTTTAAACTTAAGGCCAAAGTAGCTGAGTTGGAAAAAGTCTCCCATTCAGCTGCACTATTTCGACTTATAATTTGAAATTCCCATCTCAATTCCCTGCAATGATCTCTTTATTGAGTAGACCTTTATAACTCCAAGTTCCCACCAGCAGTACCATGCAACCATGGTATACGATCGACACAGCATCTATATCAGGCAGGTACATTTTATCTGTGGCAATGTCCTTGTATATATCTTGCTATTACTGCATTGCTAATCCTACCTGTGGCCAAACCAGCCACTTAAAGTGTAACCCCCCTGAATGTAATATGATGTAAAATATATCCCTGTGTACTGCTTGGTATCTCCTAAGGCGGGAGATGGCTATCTGTAACCCAACCCCCTCCTGCCTCGGACTAAGGGAAGTGTATTGTGTGGAATGCAGACCCCCCTGCGGAGGTCTGTGCTTAAAGGAAGCTGTAATCAATAAAGAGTGTGACTCAGCCTGGTGAGATGCCAGTGTTTAAACCTCCAAGCTATGTGTCAACTAGTTCTTGGGAGAAAAGGATTGTAAATACGCTACCTGCATTTTACCTACATTTTACCTGCTTCATCCTGTCTACCAGCGGAGATACCGTGGATAATACTACTACTCCGCTACAATTGGTGGCAAGCGACGGGATTCAAACAACACAGCAAAGAAGCGTTCGGCAGGGATTGATGCGAGCAGAGGAAAAGAAACAGCAATTCGTGAAACAACCATTCGGATGAAACCAGAGTTCGGGAATACGTGGAATCACACAAACAGCCGGTGAATGGAAACTAATTATGCACTTTTGAAACGGAGTACACTGAAGGAATAACTAGAGGCAAGGGGAACAATAGCCAGCAACAAGACAAAGGCTACCCTTATTGCTGAGCTCATGGAAGGAGACAGAGCACCGGCTGCTGCAGCACCTCCAATGGAGGAAGAACAAACAGAATTTCAGAAAGAGTTCAGGAGCAGGATGGCACTGTACCCAACCACACCACCCCAAGAGATTTTCGACAGGATCATGTGCAAGAATACATCATGGCCAAACGGTTCCAACCAAACCAGCAATCCAGAGAGGGGTCACCGGCTCCACACAGCATTATATAGGGAAAACCAAAAATTCCCTACCAAGTCTTTAAAAACTTTACGGACACAGAGGGCGATATTGATGGATATTTGCAGGACTTTGAAAGACTGTGCCAGCTGCATGATATCGGGCCCCAAGACCAGGTACCACTGCTGGCCAGTAGATTATCTGG